TGCTTTCAGGATTTCAACAAGAATGCATAATTATTTTTTTTCTTGACGATGATGACATGATGACCTTCATTGTCCTGGTATTTTCTGCCTCGTGCCCTGTCTTTTGCATATTTTTCTCTGCTAATATTTTTTTTGAAAAAATTGTTTTTGTAATGTTTTCTTTACTTCCCACTCTGTGCGTGCATGTGAAACTGTTTCAAAGAAAAGTCCTGCCATTGAAACTTGTGGAATCGTTCTTGGAACTCTTTGCCTCTGGACTTATTTGATTTATTAACAATGTCAATGACATGTCTAAAAAAAAAGACAACAAAAAACCACGTACAGCGAACGATTGAAGAAAATAGCATCGGTGGAGAACTGAAATAGCTGCCCAGTTAAAATATTGGTTCTGATTAACGACATCAATTTATAGCAGCATAGTTTTGGCACCTAGAACAGGTTTTCTGTTTGATGGCACTAGGAGTTCAAAATTTTATATAGCTGTACCGTATGATTAATCAAGTATGGATGTAACAGCCAAAACCCATATTGTCTTCTTTGGGCTTTTCTTTCTAGGTTTCCTCTCAAGGTTTTAAAACGCGTCCACTAGGGAGAGATTTCTACACCCTTAAGGAATGCTTTCTTCCACTATCCAACTAATGTGAGATCTCACAATCCACCCCCTTGGGGGCCCATCGTCCTTGTTGGCACATTGCCCCATCTGGCTCTGATATCATTTGTAACTGTCCAAGCCCACCACTAGCACATATATTGTCCTCTTTGGGTTTTTCCCCCAAGGTTTTAAAATGTGTCCACTAGGGAGAGATTTCCACACCTTTAGGAGTGTTTTCTTCCCCTCTCCAACCGAGGGAGGATCTCACAATAGGTGTTAATATTTTGTTGCTTCCCTATAGGTTGTTATGTCATTTTTCCTTTCATTTAATAAACCATGTTTCATTATGTGCGCCTCCACATTTTTTGGGTTGGTGGAATATGAGCTTTGCCAGACAGCATTGGTTAAATATGGCATACATGTTTTATTTTACAAGAATTTTATGTCAAGACATGTTTGGTAGGATATGAATGCAAATGTTGACATTGGGAAGTGATGAGTTTGTTAGGATCTAGGATCCCAATAACAAGAAACACAATGTAGAATTGTTATTGCTATATTGAAAGAGAAATTACAACGTCATAGCCTTTTGAGAGGGCTATGTCTCTCCCAAGTCCCACTTTGTGCTATCTCCAAAATTAACCTCTCTGCATAACATCCCTAACTTCCCTATTTATAACCAAGTCTTCCTAACTAACAACCACTATGCACTTACTAATATTATACTAGTATTCTCAAGATATCACCTATCAATACTCTCATTGAGTTCTAGGTATCCCCTAATTGTACTCGTAGAGTTCTAGATATGTGATGATATTGCATTTAAATGTGAGTGGTGGGACATTTTAAGAGTGATTTTCTCAAGATGTTCAATGTTATTATGAGATATTACCATATGGGTCAAGTTGACTCGATCATGATTATAATTGACATTGAGGGTTTTAGGATTGGCTTCGTGACAAGTCTTGAAAAATTCATTTCTAATACTTCATTAAGAGAATGTGGAAGGCCTACACGGCCTATATGTTAGATGAAGTTGAGGGTTATTATAGACCTCACTATCTACTTATCATCTTTAAGAACATGTCGATTGGGATATTTGGATGAGGTATTAAGCAAGGTTCTGTCTCATTCTGTTTTCGCTGTGTGGGTGAAAATTCTTAAAGATTGGTGGTTCCATTCTCCATCATAATAAATGCCTTTCTTTCTTTCATTTGTACTTCCATTCTCCTTGATGAAAGCAGTTCCTTTCCTTAAAAATGTACTTGCATGTATGACTGCAAGGTTGGTAGTTCTATGCTTTCTGAGATAATTGTGAAGAATGACTTTTGTTAATTTCTTCTGTCAGCAGATAGGCATTTCCTCTTTTTAGATTTCCAAATCATGTTGCTTATAATGGAAGTTAATATGAATAATTCTGATGACCAGAGTGCATATATTGTTCTTATCCTTCAAGAGTATGTCATTTCAAAACTCTTTTGTAGGTTAAACGTCTGACTGAAAATATCCAAACTATATTGGATGCATTGCAATCATCTACTCTTGTGGAAGTAAAGGTCAGTAGACATCAGCTCCTGAATAACCCTTTTCCTCTAATTGTAACTGGAGATTTTAATGGGTCTTGGAGTACTATATTTTCTTATCTAAGTTGGGAAAAAAACACTGAAAGTTAGTTAGTTTGGCATCCTTAAAATGTAATAGTTATAGTAGGAATAGGAATAGACGGAAAATTTACAATCATGTTTCTCTAATTCTCGTATATATAAACTACTTCTGTTTTTTTTTTTTTCTTTTCCTCGTAGGGAGATAAAGTAAGGAGGCGAAATGATTATGATAGATGGATTATTCGACCTGGTCAAGTTCCTAATATTGCAGCCCCATTAAGCCCAGTAAGTTCCAATCAGGATATGTTGGCAGCTGGTGTTCAAGGTATTGCACTAGAGAATATTAATCATAGGGACTCTGAAGGTGGACAGGGTGATGTTCATGTTGAGGCACTCCACAGTCGTAGGCCATCTGGAAATTTGAGTATGCAGGCACAGCCATGTGGTGATGATCGTCCAGGCCAAGTAAATACCAAGGCCGGCCCGGATTGTTCATCGTCTGAAAGGAGTTAGACCAAGTTTGTGCTGTGAACCCATGTCCTTTTGAAGGAAAACTAGATGTGGGTTGTAGAGATTAAGTGAGGAGATGTTAGCGACACGGTTTGCACAACTAAAATTCTCTTCTCTTGATGCCAAGTAAATTGGTAAACTGAAGTTATAGAAGAGAAACAATTTTAAAAAGAAAAAGGAAAAAACTAAAACTTTTAAACTTAAAAAAGAAAAAAAGAAAAAAAGAAAAAAAAAAAAAACTATGACAGAAGTTCCTTTTGTGGTGGAGGGATGCATTTATGGTTTTGTGGGCTGCTGTTGGCTGGCTGGCTGGCTGGCATGACTTGTTTCTCAAGTTCATGTTCTTTTTTGTTGTGATTTTCGTTTTTGGTGATGAATGATGATGGCATGTTACTTAATGTGGAGAATTTTGATTTGCTTCCCTCTGGCTGCCCCTCAGCTTGTTTTTTCTTTATATCTTCGGGGTCAGAGTACTTCGAGTTCTAAGATGAGAGAACACGATGATTCGAGTAAGAACTAGAAGGTTTGGCTTTTTGTTTCTGCAAGGTGAATCAAGAGAGGTTGGTTGGCTTTTGTTGGATATTGTGGAGGCTGGGTTGCAACTGACGTTCTTCTATCTTGAAGGTTCTTCTTTCCATCTTTTGTTATTGTATTTTAGGAAACTTTCCCTGTCATTTGCTCTATAAATACCTTCCAACTTTAAATGCTGCATTAGGAACTTCGGAGGTTGATATTATTTTGCTCGAGATATCTTTATTTTATTTGATACGGTTTGGAACAAATATTTATGAAAATGGGAATTTGCAATACCAGTTAATAGTGCTGCATTTCTCCCGAATGTAACACAAACCATTGTTTTCTCGCATGAACTCTCTCTGTCTCCCTCTCTAAGGTTATTAGGTACCCGAGGAAATAGACGAGAACTTTCAGTTCAGTTTAGTAATCGATAACATGTAAAGATGTGGACCATATTACCATCTCCTCTGTAAGCACTTCTGTTGGTTGACAATCTTCATCGCTCACCCAAAACCGACAAATTGAGCAAGTTTTCTGATTCTGGCATTCATGAAACCACCTCTCGACGCATATCTTGTGAAACTCGTGCTGACAAGGAAGAATTTGCGCTACCTTTCTCTCCATTACGTTTGACAAACACACAGAACACCACTCCCTCTCCATAGCAGCATCATCCAAGGTTGGATGTGCTGAAGTTTCACAACCTTCCTCCTTGGCCCTCTTCATAAAACATGAATCAATAACATCACCACATGATAATGCATCTTTGATACCTGGAAACAATCCGAGGACAATGAAGTTATAGCAGGAGGAGAATATCGTCCTGCACTCCATTCAGTTAAAGGTAAGAAGGATAATTGATTATAGTGCTTTAATAGTAGGGGGTAATTGTGTTTGAGGAATGGTAGTTAGATTGAGAAAGGAGACCCTCAAATTTCAAAGACAGTGGTTGCACCTAAACAAGATTACTACACTTGACCTTTCAAGTTATAGTGTCAAATGCCTGGAGCACATAAGCTGCTATACCCCATCGGCTAACTTGATAAAAATGATAACCATTTCATAAAGGAAACTTGATTGAGATATGCCAGCGTCCCCATAAAAGGATATGCAAGTGCTCCTAAGATAGGACCTAAAGAAAGATAGATCAAAAAAATATCTGGAGAAATGGTGTCCAACTTAAACCTAAGACTAAATTGAAGGCTTGGAACAACTGGTGAACAACCACTAGACAATAGTATGAAGAAATCTTAATCTAACGATGCTAACAAGTGGGCATAAAGATTTGAACTTTCGACCCCGAGAGAGTACATGCTAATTATCGTTGAGTTGATAACTATTGAATATTGAACGCACTTTCTTCATCATAATTGTGATTATGATGAACATGCAAGATAAACTAAAAAAACTTTCCTATGATGAACCACTTACATTCATGCCGAACATGTAATCAACTATAATAAGTAATAATTTCGTTGTCCTTAGCATGTTCCATACCATGCACACCGTGTTTTTACATAGAACAACCCGATGTTTACCAAACTGGCGTGTGTCCTAACCCAAACAGAACAATGTAAAGGAGATCATGGTTGACTTGATCTGAACACGAAAGTTTATTTTCCGAGAACTAAAGAGATGATCATCCAACGATGCCCTTCCATGTCAGTAAAAGCTAAAGAAACGATTCACCCTCAGACAATTCAACACAAGCCCAAAAGTTTTAAGCAGAAAAAATTAGATATTCTGTTTAACCTACCCCAATCGCTAGAAAAGAGTACAAAAGAAAGATGGACAAGTAGTCTGATCTGACTATTTTATTGGGCAACGCCAGAAATTTTCAGGAAATGAGACCATTCAAATCATTCTAAAGTGGAAACTTCAAAGCATAAACACACAGGTGTAGTGCCATTAGGTTGACATCTATTCTCACTATTCAGCTCAAGAAATAAAAATTGTCTTCCGCTCCCAAACAAGCATAGCTCATTTTTCTCGAGGAATCTCGACGGTATCCTCACCTTTCAATCCATCGTCAGTTTCGATTATCCTTCCTTCCTTTGGCACCAAGCAAGGAACTCCGCCCCTTATCTAACACAACCATAAGTAAAATTACAACATACAATAGAAACAGGCACATGACCTATATAACCTAACTCCACGGATGAAGGGAGGGTTTGAACACTACTTTCTGGTTCCCACAGCCATTTTTACTACCTAATCCAGAAAAACTGAGAAATACTTCATTAAACTAATGAAACCAAGGAATGTCTTGATCTACCAGTAGGTAGGTCTTAATATGACTCAAGAGTTAACGTAAGCTTTCGCTAGCAAGTCGAATAGCAGCTACGCACTCTAGATGACCAAAAAAATGAACCGAGAGCTAGTATCGAAAAGGAAAATCAGAATGAAAAAACAGAAAATGGCCATAGGCGAAGAATTATACTGGAATTCATATTTTGCACAATTGAAGCCGATGTTGATGTACTTACAGGGAAAGAAACACGAATCGTATCGCTGATTAGAGAATTCGACGCCTCGCAATACCTAATGATCAAAACAGACAATGAAACCAAATTATGCACAACAGATTGAGGAGAATGAAGGAAAAAATGATGAATTCAAATGGAACCATCACCTTAGAGGTTGTTTGGAGAGAGGGCAGACCAGGATCTCGGAGAGAGTTTTGGTGAGACCAGAGCCCGCTTCCTTCAGAAGCGATTGGCTTATTCGCACCATTAGCTGGATTCAATTTTTCCCGGTTTGAGTTTCTGCTTCGAAACGTCGGAGAGTCGGCAATTGAGGGTTTTTCTTTTTCTGTTTTTTTCCGTTAATTATTTTTTTACAAGTTCATGATTAATTATAAAAATAAAAAAAAATAAAAAATAAAATACTACGTTTTAATAATACTTTAAATTTTTTAAAATTTCATTTTAGCCTCAAATTTTTTATTTTAAAGAATAGATACAAACTTTTCTTTTTATAAATTTTAAATAAAAAAGCTTTTAAAAATTGAATTTTATTTCTTATAAGATTCGTAAATTCTTAAATTTTAAAAATACTAAATAAATTAATGACGTATTAGACACAAAATATTAAAAAAAATATAAATCTATTAAACATAAAATTGAAAAAAATTAAAAGATATACTATCCAAATTTAAATCCTAAAAATCAAATAATCGCAATTAAAAAAATAAAGAATTTATTAAACAAAGAAAATGTATAATTTTATCCTATTTCTTATAATTTGTGTTTTTAGTTTTTTATTTACTAAAATTTAGATGACCGTAGATTTATTTGTTTCATACGAAGAACGATAATTTTCACGAATATATAAATTTTAAAGAGTTTCTTAAATTCTCTTCCGATTCTCCTTCAGTTCGTCGCCGTCAAACGCCGTTTAAAGCGTATTAGGCATCGCCTCCGAAGAGCAATTCATACGACGAATGTGCGATAGTGGCGGCAACTATGTGGAAGAAGAACACGGAGACGAAGAATTCTGTGTGAAAGTAAATCAATGTCATACCGCAAATGAATGGCAAGAATTTACTCCCGACAACTCTTTCGCTTCACACGCGCCTCCCTCCCTCCGCCCTCTAAATACATTGATCGATGTCCGTCTCCATTTTGCTCTTTTGCAGAACCAGATCTTTCACTCGACGCCAGAAATCCTCCTAGACATAACCGATGCCATTCGCTTCTTCAATCATGTCAGAGCATGAGAGAATTAGTTCAAATCCATGGCCATTTGATTACCTCTGGTCTTTTCAATCACCATTTTTGGGCCAACCGAGTTCTATTGCAGGCATCGGAGTTTGGGGACATCGTTTATACTGTTTTGATCTTTAAGCTTATAAACGTTCCCAATGCCTTCTGCATCAATAGAGTAATTAAGGCTTATTCTCTTAGCTCAGATCCTCTAGAGGCTGTATTTGTGTATTTTCAATGGCTTGGTGATGGGTTTCGGCCTGATACGTACACTTTTCTTTCGCTTTTTTGCGCTTGTGCGAGTATTGGCTGTGGGTCTTCTGGGCGGAAGTGTCATGGACAGGCTTTCAAGAATGGGGTTGACTGTGTGATGGTTTTGAGAAATAGTTTGATTCATATGTATGGCTGTTGTGGCCATATTGAGCTTGGCCGGAAGGTGTTCGACGAAATGTTGACCCTGGATCTGGTGTCTTGGAATTCGATTGTTACAGCTTATGCAAGAGTTGGGGATTTGCATACTGCCCATGACATGTTTGATGCAATGCCTGAGAGAAATGTTGTTTCTTGGAATTTGATGATTAGTGAGTATTTGAGAGGTGGGAGTCCTGGCTGTGCAATGAAGTTGTTTAGGAATATGATGAAGATAGGAATAAGAGGGAACAGTACAACAATGGTAAACATTCTTGGTGCTTGTGGTCGATCGGCCAGGCTGAATGAAGGAAGATCGGTTCATGGTTTTATGTACCGTACTTCGATGAAGTTCTGTGTATTTATCGACACGGCATTGGTTGACATGTATGGCAAATGCCAGAGAGTATCTGTTGCACGTAGACTATTTGACAGGATGGTGAATCGAAATTTGGTTACCTGGAATGCGATGGTTTTGGGGCATTGCCTACATGGGAATCCTGAAGATGGACTTAAGCTATTTGAGGAAATGGCTGCTAAATTAAGGGAAAGAAATGGGGAAGCAGGCAGTGGCAAGAAATTCAAGCAAGATGAAGGTGAGCGAAAAGTCTTCCTGGACCAAATTACGTTTATTGGCGTTCTTTGTGCCTGTGCTCGGGCGGGACTGCTGGAAGATGCAAATAACTACTTTGATGAGATGATCAATGTATTCCTTGTGAGGCCAAATTTTGCACACTACTGGTGTTTGGCCAATGTTTACGTTGCAGCAGGGTTGATTCAGCAGGCTGTGGAAATCCTTAGAAACATGCCTGAGGATATTGAGGACTTTTCATCAGAATTGGTTGTATGGACCAACTTGCTTGCGACATGTCGTTTCGGGGGAGATGTTTCTTTGGGAGAACAGATTGCAAACTATTTGATTGACATGGAGCCTAAGAATGAGTCATACTATAGATTGCTTCTTAATATTTATGCTGTAGCAGGGAGATGGGAGGATGTTTCTAGAATCAAAGTATTAATGAAAGAAAAACGACTCGGAACATTTCCGGGTTGTAGACTGGTAGACCTGAAAGAGATTGTTCACAGATTAAAATTGGGAAATCTTCTGCAAGAGGGGATGAAGGAGACAAACACAGTGATGCATAAACTTGCTAGTGAAGTGAGTCTATTGTCAACTATTGCTGCAGGGCAATCGGATCTTAGAGTTTAGAACTGGTTTGCTAGCAAGAAAAATGAAATGTGTGGACACTACAGTATACACAAAGATCTCGATACTTAATGTTCAAGATCTCGGGTCTTGTGTCTGTATTATGAAAAAGATGATTGGAAAGCTAGACTCACAGATTAAGGCAATCGCCCGAACAAGTCATGACGGTAACAGCTTACAGCTACCCCAAGAAAGAGCACACAGCCCTGGAGAGTTTTGCTTTTAACATCATATGATAGCTGAGCAGCAGAAGGAAAAGGTTTGTTTTCCCTGCTCTTCAGGTTATGATGTTGGCTATGTGGCAGATTTATTTCAAAGCTTTCTCTTCAACCTAGCTGCATCTGAAGTGAAGGTAGAGCAATAATAGATAGATATTGTATTTCTTGTTCATCTGAATTCTAGACGAATTTCTTGAGCAATTGTTCTTGATCTTTCTCTCGATTCAATCCTGTTCTAATTCATTTTTGATAATCATGGAATAACGGGTACTAAAATTTTCAACTGTCATCAAGCTGTCTAAATCAATGGAATGTTGGCTCTTTCTAATTCAATTCACACGAATCAAAGGAACGGCTGGCCTTGATTTGGATAACCAAAAAAGGAAAGCAATTGTCTTAATAATTTTCAATTTATACACCCAAATGTCTTGCACAATTCAAAGTCACAATATTACGTTCAAATCATTCCTTGAGCTATGAACATCTGTTATCCAGTCTACGCATTCTTTGAGCTATGAACATCTGTTATACAGTCTACACATTCCTTGAGCTATGAACATCTGTTATACAGTCTACGCATTCCTTTTCTCCTTTTATACACAAAGACATGTTCACTTTGAAAGAGAATTGGTAGCACTATGTAGCATGTACAGAGTATAAAGGAGAAAAGAGAAGGAAGAGAGCCAATCTCTTCCACGGGGTTAATCAATATCAATGAGACTAAGCAATGTCTATTTTACAACTTACATGGAAGCAAGACGATCAAGTATTTTAACTTTCCAAGGCGACTGGATTATGTTTTCAGCTCTCACCTAGGATTCCATGTATTGCAATGGTGGAGGGATCGTTCTTGTGTTCTCTGGACCTACAAGTTATATTTTTAATCAAACATTTGGGAACGCCTTTCTACTTGTAATAGTACCAACATGAAGGTCTTTCTACATCATACTGACATGGCGACATCCACATGTCAAAGGATGTATGATGCAGCACTAATATTGTTCTCAGAAATTTGTTTTGGCCATCGTTAAGTTTTTGTATGACATCCTATATATATCAGGTGGCTTATTTTCGTATAAAACTTAGTAGGATGTAAAATTGGTAAATGTACTATAAAAAAAAAAAAAAAAATTAACAGCAATAACTTGAAATTTTTTTTGTGTATAAGCTTGGAGATCAAAACAAGATTTTATAATGCAAAAGCTCCATGGTGTTTATGTAGAATAAATAGAAGTGAAGCCTGAAGAACTGTGTTGTAAAATTATCGGTGCAGTAAGTACATACATACCACAACGCATTTCTATTTCTCGCCATTCTTGGACGAGTGCACAGCAGCAACACAGAAGGTGAGAAAGAAAATCATCAACAATGCCTCCCTGCCAAAGAATTTGAACAAGAAGTGAAAGACGTACATCACCAATTCGGATTGGTAACCAAAGGTTATATATGTCAAGAAAAACAAGTCACAAACTAGGCTAGATGACCCCCTCAGTACCAGAAATGTAGAGGATGAATGCATTATCCTAGAAAGTAGAAACAAACGCCAAATAGAACTAGAGTAGAGCAAGAGGACTTGGAGCAAGAAGAGTGTCATAATGATTCACTCGCAAAGAATCCATGTAATTAATACTCGTGCAATCACCTATCAGCTTTGGGCTTGCTAAGCCATGAGCTCAAGAACAATAATTAATCATTTGCGTTTCTATGAGATAAAATCATCTAAACTTGCAAAAGAAGCATATTGCTGAACCCACCATCCACACTTGCATGAAATAATAGGTCTCAATTCACATGTTGGAACATAAGTTACCTTGATATTTAGCATATTTCGGAGTTTTCGTCGGAAACAGCAAGTGTAACAGCAGCATGAGAACACCAAAGCATATGCCATCAACTCATTACATGCATCCGCAGGAGCTGATAATCAGAGGAAATGTAAGATTTTTTTTAGCTTTGAACGTTACATAGCATGTATGTTACTCAAGATCTTCAGTATTGGAGCCATATGGTGTTGAGAAGACGAAAGCGAGAGAGACATTCTTTGACACACAATTTTTACGATGGTTCTGTATGAACCCATAAATCATGAGATGATCTCCGACTACATCTCAATCCATTATAAAGCACTACCCTAGTAGAAAATAGACATTCGGTGATTACTTACAGACATGCTTGTTGGTAGCGACAGTAGCAACTTTTGACAATGTCCAACAAGGACAGAAAAATGTCTTTATACCTGGAAAGTGTACAAAGGTACTTGGATGAGAAACAATACACGTGCGCATA